ATTTATGAGCCCTGGCCCCCCACTGAATGGCCTGGGTTCCGTGGCCCCCTGAGAGTGCTATTAGTCATAACTTTTGCTTTTTGGATAATATGGCCCTTGTGCAAACGATATTTCAGAGTCTGTATAAGCCCTCAAGCCTACATGCCACACATCACCCTCATTCCATGCAAACAGAGCTTAGATTCCTCTGTGTCTATTTGCACATGGCCTGTTCACTCCTGTAAGCTGTGGTGATGTCCCACCTGCCCACCTTCTTATCCATCTTTATAAATTATACACTTCCCACAAGTCTCCGCTCAAAGTTCTGTTCTGCATGAAGTCTTTTATGGGAGCACAGGGTCTACCTTTTCTTCCTTTCATATTGTTCTGCAGTGAACAATAAAATTTGGGTCTCCGCACTCTCCCGTGGTGGTGGGGAACAAAGAAGGTGATTCATAGTTCCCCAAGAAATAGTAAAGAGAGGTGCCTAAAAAGTAATGAATTCAAAAGAAAAGAACAAGCTGTAAAAATCCAGAGGAAATCACAGAAAAAGTGGCTTTTGAAATGGGCATTGAAGGATGCAGAATTTAAGCTGTGGGTGAAGATAGGCGGCTTTGTAGATTGAGAAAAATGGACTGTGGGCATAAAGTGGGCATACCTACAGAGACGTGTGACAACGTGCTTGGGGCTGGCCTGGAAAGCATTCTAGGGCGAAAGGCTGGGAAGAGATTCAACCACTTTATTTTTTTATTTTTATTTTTTTCTATTTTTTTTTTATCCTCACCCGAGGACATTTTTCCATTTTTTGCACAGATAGAGTAGGAGGGAGAGAGAGGAAGAGAGAGAGAGAGAGAGAGAGAGAGAGAGAGAGAGAAACATCGACGTGAAAGGGACACATCGAGTGGCTGCCACCCGCATGACCAACCAGGGCCGGGGACAAACTGCAACCGAGGTACGTGCCCTTAGCGGGAACCGAACCCGGGTCTCTCTGGACCGCAGGCCGATGCTCTAACCGCTGAGCCAAACTGGCCAGGGCAAGATTCAACCACTTTATAGAGGCTTTTATACTGTGTAGAGCGGGATGTTAGCCCAGATTTGAGCCTGGGGTTTCAGGACGATAATTCTTGCAGGAAGATGGGGAAGGGGGTGGGGGGTGGGTAAAGATGTCATTGGAGGAATGGACACCAATTAGAAGTGTTCCAGGCAGAAGATGAACACCTGAATTTATTTATTTATTTTTATCCTCACCCAAGGACATTTTTGTATTTATCTTCAGATAGAGCAGAAGGAAGAGAGAGAGAGAGAAACATCGATGTGAGAGAGAGACACACTGACTGGTTGGCACCCACACAACCCCAACCAGGGCTGGGGACAAACAGCAACTGAGGCACGTGCCCTTAGCGGTAACTGAACCCGGGCCTCTCTGGTTCATGGGCCGATGCTCCAACTGCTGAGCCAAACCAGCCAGGGCTGAAAACCTGAATTTACACAGTATGTGGGTGGAAAGGAGCAGACAACTGGTCAAAACCAGTGCCCCACTGCTTCTTTGTAATTCTGAAATCTAAAAAGCTGAAAATCAAGAGTTTCCTCTAACGTTTGCAGACAATTTATTTGGTAGAAAAACCTGACTTAAACAGATGTGACGTTATGTATTGTTTTTTTTTATCTCACTTCCTGAATTAAAAGGTGGCCACAATTCTTTTCTGCTCTTCCCATCCAGAGGTGGTTTGTATTCTGCCCCCACCTACCCCCACCTGCATTTGAATCTAGGCTGCCCTGTCCCTGGCTTTGACCAACAGAATGTGGCAGAAATGATGCTGTGTGGCTTCGAAGGCTGGGCCTTAGGAGAGCTGCAGCTTCTGCTTTTGCCCGTCCTGGAGTGTTCCCTCTTGGGAGCCGGTTAGCATGTAGAAGTGCCCTGGGCCCTCCGTGCTGTGAGGAAGCCTGAGCTTTGTGGAGAGAGGCTGGGTGGAAGAGCACCGAGGTGCCAGACCGTGAGTGAAGACTTTTCGAATGTTCTAGGCCTGCCCATTCGAAAGCAGCTGAGTGAATGACTCCAACCAACACCACGTGGAACAGAAGAGTTACCAGCCAAACCCTGCCCAAATTCTTGAGCCACAGACTCATGATCAGATAGGATGGCTGTCAATTTACATCACTAATGTTTCAGGAGTGTCTATTACATTGCAACAGGTGACTCAAACACACACTTAAGCCCTGGCTGGTTTGGCTCAGCAGTTAGAACGTCGGTCCACGGTCCAGAGAGACCCGGGTTTGGTTCCTACTAAGGGCATGTACCTCGGTTGCAGTTTGTCCCAGCCCCGGTTGGGGTCATGTGGGTGGCAACCTGTCCATGTGTCTCTCTCATATCGATGTTTCTCTCTCTCTCTCTCCCTCTTGCTCTTTGCAAAAATGTCCTCGGGTGAGGATAAAACACACACACACACACACACACACACACACACACACACACACTTAACGTCATTCACATATTTTCACTGAAGAAAAATCAGTGTATTTGATTAAAGGGCCATGCCAGCCTTTACCAAAGGTGTTTTGGTGTATATACATTTTACCTTTCTCAAAAAAAGAAATCTGGCCTGGCTGACCTGTGCACTGAAGGGTCATGGGTTTGATTTCTGGTCAAGGGCATGTACTTGGGTTGCAGGTTCGATCCCCAGACCCGGTTGGGGTGCATGCAGGAGGCCACTGATCCACGTGTTTCTCTCACATCAATGTCTTTCTCCCTCTCTCCCCCTCCTTCCCTCCCATTCTCTGTAAAAATCAATGGAAAAAATATCCTCAGGTGAGGATTAACTTAAAAAAATAAGAAAGAAAGAAATCTGAATGTTGAAATCCATCTGGCTGCAAGGGTTTTTTGAGAGAATTGTCCTTTGTATTACAGAAATAGAGTTGTCTAGACCTCCTTCCTGTCTTCCTGCATTCCCAAAATGTCATGAATGATGCCATAGATTCCTCCAGGCATTTCACGTGTGTATCTCTCATTTCCCCAGCTACATTATCAGTTTCTCTAAATCAGGAGTTCTCTAACTTCAGCATGTATCAGAGTTTCTTGGAGGGCTCGTTCAAACACAGCTTCCTGGGCTCTGCCCCCAGAGTTTCTGACTCAGTGGGTCTGAAGTGGGGCTTGAGAACTTATATTTCTGACAATTTCCTAGGTGATGCTGATGCCACTGGTCCAGGGAACACATTCTGAGACCCGCTCCTCTAGCGAAGAGTGCTATGCTTTCATTTTTGTTCTATTTGTCCACCAGTGCAAGGTGCTTAGCAAATGCTCATGGGTGGAATTTTCCCAAATCCTTATCTTTGCATTGCTTTTGAAGCCTTAACTTTTACTCCTGAGGTCCCCGGGCTAGGCTCTAAACTTAAAAGAAACGAATTCCTTGTTTTCTCAGATTGTAGCTTTTGCTTTCTTCTTAGTTCAGCTGATAGGACATTGTCCCTTCTGACCTTTTTTTTAACCTGTCTTCGAATAGATCAGAGGGAATGCCTTCACTGTGACTCCAAAGCAATCCTCTATTTGTGACCAAGGATTATTTCCTTTCCCTTTGGTGATTTTCAAATAAAATGCGTTTCTTGCCATCCTTTCACAAAACAGGAGGAACCACCCAGAACACGCTGTTTTTGGTGAGAGGTTCCTCTATCAACACCTGCATCTTACAGGTGGTCCCACTGAGGCCCAGAGAGGTGGAGCCGCTTGCTCATAGTCATACAGCTGAGAAAGGCCCGTGCCTCCGTGTTGAAGCTCAGGTCGACCTCGACCTATAACAAGGTACTCACTAAATAGGACTCTGGTATCTCCTGGCCAGGAGCTGTCACCTGGGTTCCACTATCCCCGACAGAGCCACTGAGTTCTTCCTGAAACCCCGACCCTGCAAATTTTCCCTACAGACCCTGCCTGGTTGCTTGAATGAAATGGCTTGGCTGCCCTTTGCATCTTGGCGTGCGGAGGCGCATATTCTAACACTGAATGCGAAAAGCACAGCCCGTGTGTCATAAACTTCACTTTGCACCTTTCCTTTCGAGGGTGACGGGAGAGTCACACTGATGAACTTGACCAGGGACCCACACGCCCCTCCCCCTCGTCTCTGGGCCAGGAGCCATCTGGGCTCCATGGATCCCCGCGACAGAGCCACTGCGTGCGCCTGGAGGCGTCTCGCCCACAAAGCCCAGAGGTTAAGTCGGTTCCTCACATTGTTCCCAGCAGGAGGGCAGGAAATAATGCCGGGTTGTGCTGGCGGCCGCAGCGGGCGGGGGAGAAGCCGTCCTGGCGGCCTCGCATCGATCTCAGGTCTAAGGTCCGGCCGGGTCAGAGTTCCTGCCGCGCGTCCTCGCGCGCGAGTCACCACCCCGCCCCCTGCCTCGGTCGCCGCTCAGAGGGCTCATTCCCGGAGCCCAGGTGGCCCCGAGGGGCCCTGAAGCCCAGGCCGCCGTCAGGTGGCAGGAGACAGGTCAGCAGGGGCCGCCCGCCCGAGGGAGGCGGAGCCTGTCGGAGGCCAGGGCCGGGCAGGGGCAGCAGGCGGCAGGGACCCCGCGCCCCCTCCTCGGCGCGGCAGCCCCGCGACCCGGGCGCGACTCGGCGCCCTCGGGCAGCACGGCCCCGGGCCACAGGTGGAGGCGGCCGGCCGCGGAGCCCGGGCGGGGCGGTCCCTGCCTGCGCGCCCGGCGCCCGCCCCTCTCCACGCCCCCTCCCCTCCTCCCGCCCTCCCGCCTGCCACGGCCGCCGGGCAGCCTCCCCTCGCTCGGTCTCCTCCTCCGCCGCCGCCTCCCGGGCCCTTGGCCGCCGGAGAGTCCGCACGCCGAGGTGCCGGGGCCGCCGCGCACTCGCAGGACACGCGCCGCCGCGGGACCGGCCCCGGTTGGCGCCCCCGTCGCCTCCCTGCCCGCGCCAGCCGCGCTCCCCTCCCCCTCGCCGGGGTCCCCCGGGCTCAGGGCCGCGCGTCCAGCTCCGGACGCGCCGGGGGTCCCCGAGGAGGCACCAGCCCGGCCAGGACGCGACGATGGAGGAGCCGCAGCGCGCCCGCCCGCACACCGTCACCACCACCACCAGCTCCTTCGCCGAGAACTTCTCCACCACCAGCAGCAGCTTCGCCTACGACCGGGAATTCCTCCGCACCCTGCCGGGGCTCCTCATCGTGGCGGAGATCGTGAGTGCCTGGGGCCCGGGAGGCAGGGGGCGCAGGCGGACCGGGGCGTGCTCCCGGCTGGCAGCCGCTCGGGTCCGCAGACCGGCTTCGAAGGAGCCCCGTTTGCTCAGCCTCGCCTTCTTCCCAGCGTGCAAAACTCAGAGACCACGTCTCTGAACGAGCTCCGGTCACCTCGGGGAAGAGGCTTGTGACCCTCCGGATGGCCGTGGGGGGAGACGCCCAGTTTGCTGGGCCCTGTCGGTGGTCGCGGCGTATCCTGGGAGCAGGATGCTTGGTGGGCAAGGAGTTTATGTTAACGAGTGCCACGGACACCAGGCGCCGCCCTTACCTGGTCTCCACGTGGGTGGCCTCCTCCCCACAGCAGAACTTTCTAAAGATCAGGGGAGAGGAGAGGATGCATTCCTTTTCCTAATTATCTCCCTGGTAATAAAGTTGAGGTGAGTCAAGAAATGCTTACCTAATAAAATAAGGGCCTCAACCTCCGAGGACCAAAGGGTCTCCTGCTTGGCGCTGTGGCGCATCCTGCTTTAGGCTGAGCACGTTACTGGGGAGGTGGGCATGTGCATTCTCCTCTTCATAGGAGGATGCGGAAGCTGAGAGGTCAAGTGATTTCCTGCGAAGTCCTAGCCTGTCCTTGATGGCTGAAAAATGACTGGAACCCCATTAACAGCTAGTGGTGGCCACTGTTTATTGAGTCTTCACCATGTCCCAGGGTCTCCTCAAGCTCTCTAGGTGCCTTCTGCCCTCCTGTGAGCCACACAACAACCCTACCCTGTGAAGGTGGCTTCAGTAATTATCCCATTTTACATGTGAAGAAACTGAGGCATAGAGGGGGGAAGTAAGTCACACCTGGAGGTGGAGGAGCTGGAATTCAACCCCAGGCCTGACTGTTGCGAGCAATCTGCTCTTAACAGCTAATGGGCATCCCATCCGGTTGTCTAACCAGTGCCCCTTCCGCCTGTATCACATACTTTCCTGTAAACATTTGTGGAATGAAAATCTGGCTTATATGGGGGTAGAGAATGGGAAGCATGATGGTGCAGAAGTGACTGAAGACTAAGACCTTCAGCAAAACCTGAGTGTATCGCTTACGTGCTCCTCCATTCTCTGACCCCACTCCAGATCCACTGAATCAATCCCAGGTAGTCCCAGTGCACTTCAAGTGTGAGAAGTGTTGGCTCAGCCCATCCCCCAGCTTGTTCCCTCAGCTGGTGTTGAAGGACTTCAGAAGATCCAATAAAAAACTGAGGGATTGGAGTCACCTACCCGGCTGGCTTATAGGAATTCAACAAATATTTGCTGTGTGAATGAAGGAGTTGGCAAGCTCCCATGCTCTTTCGAAGCAAACAGAAGTTTCAGAAGTTTTCTGAAACTCCCTTTTATTCTTTCTTTCCCCTGACAGACATGGGGCTTCTACCATCATAAAGTAAAATGCCTCTTGTTTTCTGATTTATGATCAATTCGCTCTGTGTTCCACACTTTTTCAGAAAATAGAAAAGGGAAGGAAAAAATGTAAATGGCCCAAGATCCCATCACTAGAAATAATCACTGTTGATGTATTGGCATGTATACGTTTGGATTTCAGTACATTTTTTGAAAAAGACAGAAAAACGTGTAAGAAAAATTACTCATTACTATTTTTTTTTTAGTTTTTATTTTTCACAGAGCTATATATGCGCATTTATAGTCAAATAGTCCTGTAGGCAGAAATGTTTCCCCCACCACCTCCATACTTAGAGGTATGCACATTCAAATCTCTTAGAGCTCTAAATAATGTGTTTATAATGCGGTTTCTTCATATACAAATATTTCGAATTGTAGGTGTAATCCATAACAAGTGTTGACCTTGAGCCACTGAGCCACTGAGTAGTCTATGAACACTTTTCCATTCCTGCCCAATTTCTTGTTTTCCCTGGAGTTAGTAATTCTTTTTTTCCATTTTTTAGTTCTCTAGATATTTAGTCACTAATCTTACCTCAGTTGTCGAAATCTCCCCTTAGGAAAACTGAGACACATTCTGAGACAAAACTGGGAGGGATTCTATCAGGGTCATCCTCACAACCAACCTTGCCTCTGACCTGCTCCCGGCTCACCTGGCACAACTGATGGCCTGGGGTCTCCTGCACCATCACACTGGGGATTCTCTTCCTCCTCTCCTGGGTTGATCCCCTGCTTCCCTGGAGCAGTGTCCTCCCTGCCCTGCCTCCTCTTGGAGGGACGCGCCAGTAGTGCCCTAAGAAAGCATGCATGTGTGAATTGACATTTGCATGTTTCAAAATGTCTTGATTCAACTGTTACACATAATTAATAGTTTGGCTAAAGAATGTTAGAGTGGAAATTGTTTTTCTTCAAAACGTGTTCCTCTGTTGTCTTCTAGTTATTCTGTTTATTTTTTTTAAATCTTTATTTCAATTCTTTAAAAAAAATTTTTTTTTATAAAAGTTTGAGCCCAAACTGACAACAGTTGCTGGGAAAGATCTCAAATGCCCTATTTATTCCAGTTTGTGATCCTTTTTAAATTTTTCTTCTGAAAGCTGTAGAATCTTCTTTCTTCTATGATACCACAGTCCTGTGCCTTCGTGTGGGTTTGTTTTCTTCCATTATACTGGGTACCCGGTGTGTTCTCTCAATCAGGAAAACTTATGGATCTTTTTTTATTTTTATCTTTGTATTTCCTCAGTTTTCTAAAACTCCCTTTATAGTTTTTTCCCCCCGTGTATGTATCTTCTTATAATTTTTTTTCATGGATTAAAGACCTGCTATGTTCACTTACTACACCATGAGCATTTTTCAGGGTCTGGGGTCTCTCGAATTATTAATTTTCTGTCATAAGTCCTGTTTTGATTTCCTTTGTTTTCCATGGTCAAACTGGCATGTTTTTAGGTTTTACTAGTATAGCCAGTGCTGCAGCAATCTTCCTGTTTGTGCCTCTTTCCACATTTGTCCAGTGATTTTTATGAGGGAAATTTCCTTACTGTAGAATTGTTGTGTCAAAGGCTGCACAAAATTATAAGTGTTTTGTTACATATTCTGAAATAATCTTTCCCCATAGTTGTACTACTTTAAACTGTCATTAGATGTGTGAGTCTCAGGTTCGATTCCCGGTCAAGGGCACGTACCTGGGTTGCAGGTTTAGTCCCCAGCACGGTTGGGGCATGTGCAGGAGGCAGCCAAACAATGTGTCTGTCTCACATCCATGTTTCTCTGTTGTCTTCCCTCCCTTCCACTTTATCTAAAAATCAGTGGGAACATAGGGGTGCATATATTCTTTCTGATTGGTGTCTCAGGGTTCTTAGGATATATTCCTAGAAGTGGTATCGATGGGTCAAATGGTAGTTCCATTTTTAATTTTTTGAGGAAACACCATATTGTTTTCCATAGTGGCTGTACCAGTCTGCATTCCCACCAGCAGTGTGCTAGAGTCCCCTTCTCTCCACACCCTCGCCAGCACTTGTTGTTTGATGATTTGTTGATGGCGGCCATTCTGACAGGTGTTAGGTGATACTTCATAGTCATTTTAATTTACATCTCTCTGATGATTAGTGATGTTGAGCATTTTTTCATATGTCCCTTGGCCATGTGTAATGTCTTCTTTGGAGAGGTGTCTATTTAGGTCCTCTGCCCATTTTTGTTGTTATTGTTAATCCTCACCCAAGGATATTTTTCCATTGATTTTCCTAGATAGAGTGGAAGGGGGGGGGCATTGATGTGAGAAAGACACATTGATTGGCTGCATCCTGCACAACCCCGACTGGGTTCAAACCAGAGATCAGACCTACAACCTCAGTATGTGCCCTTGACTGGGAATCAAACCCATGACCCTTTGGTTCACAGGTTGAGGCTCTAAATGTTGTGCCAAACCAGCCAGGGAGACCTCATTTTTAAATTGGATTGTTTGTCTTCCTTTTGTTGAGTTTATATATTTTGGAAAGTAACCCCATGTCCAGTGTATCATTGGAAAATCAAATATGTTCTCCCAGACAATGGGTGTCCTTTCATTTTGATGCTGGTTTCTTTTGCTGTGCAGGAGCCTTTTCATTTAATAGCAGCACTATTTACAATAGCTAAGATCTGGAAACAGCCCAAGTGCCCATCAGTAGATGAGTGGATAAAAAAGCTGTGGTACATTTACACAGTGGAATACTATGCAGCTGTAAGAAAGAAAGATCTCTTACCCTTTGAGACGACATGGAGGGACCTGGAGAGTATTATGCTAAGCGGAATAAGCCAGTCAGAGAAAGACAAATACCACATGATCTCACTTATTTGTGGAATATAATGAACAAAATAAGCTGACAAACAAAATAGATCCAGAGGCATGGAATTAGGGAACAGACTGATAAATCTCAGAGGGGGGGGGGGCAGGAAGAGATAAAACAAAGAATATGTATATATATGCATAACCAGTGGACACAGAAAACAGTTCTGTGAAGGTGGGGGGTGTGGAGCAAGGAGGAGGGTGTCAGTGGGGGTGGGGAAGGAGGACATCTATAATACTTTGAATAATAAAGAAAAAAATCAACGGGAAAATATCCTCAGGTGATAATTAACATAAATAAATAAATAAATAAGCCCTGGCCAGCTTGGCTCAGCAGTTAGAGTGTAGGCCCACGGACCACAGAGTTTCGGGTTCGATTCCAGTCAAGGGAACATACATTGTTACGGTTTGGTCCCCTGCCCTGCTCAGGGTCCTGCAGGAGGCAGCAGGTCGATGTGTCTCCCTCATGTCAATGTGTGTGTCTCTCTCTCCCATGTGAACATGAATGGGAAAAAAGTATCCTCAGGTGAGGATTTAAACATAAATAAATAATAAAAAAAATAAAAATGTTTAGGATCACCTTAAATGATATACTGTTTTATTGACTCTAAGATACTTTTTTGTTCATATTTTAGTATCTGAGGCAGGATGTAGCTGACAATGGATGGTTTCTTGGCTCTAATGAAATATGGCACCACTGATTATTTATCTGGGGCTGGGGAACAGGTTTCAAACTATTGCT